TCGAATTACTGGGGCAAAGGGATTGCTACACAGGCTGTGAAGATGGTGGCTAAAACTATATTTGATGAATGGCCACATTTGGAGAGGCTGGAGGCTCTTGTAGACGTTGAAATGTGGGCTCACAAAGGGTGTAGAGAAGGCTGGATCAAGAAAGAAGGTGTCTTAGAAAGTATTTGATTCAAAGGGAAGCACTCGAGACAGGTCATGTTTGTCTTCTCTCCACTGATCCTAAAACTTAATCATCTGTACAAAATTTAGTTTGTGTAATATTCACTGTAGTTTGTTTTCTTTTAGCTGTTATTTGTATTCATAAACAGATCATAAAAATTGAACATACAGGATTTGATTTCCACTATCCATCCTTATGATGACCTTATCTATTTTCGTTGACTCCAAGTTGATTAGGATTATTAAGTCTCTACAGCGGCGAAAATAGCTAGATTAGGTCCCTTTCTCACCTTGGTGTACTAGTCAACTAAGGCGGCATTAAATACAGTTTCATCTTGGCACTTCTCCTTTTTTCCCTCTATAATAATTTATTTATCATATTTCCAGGCAATACTAGAGGTCAATTTCTTTGTTTTGTTAGAATACCAGGGTCTACTGAGTTGCTTGATTGAATTACAAGTGATGAATTGGATATCAAACAACTCTGAATAATCTGAACATCCTGAATATTCAATCAAGGCATAAAAATAAAAAAGAAGAAAGAAAGACTCAAAAAAAAAAAAAAAAAAAAAAAGACAGCCATAATAGATTTATAGTGGTTCGTAAGTACTTACATTCACTCTTCAAGGCTCACAATAGGAGATTATTAATCCTGATTTCAAACAGTATGAAAAAGAATTGAAATAGAGAGTACAAGAAAATAACACATCCAAAATTAGACCCTAGATTTCTCTACGAGAGTTGCTCATTTCCTTCACCAGCCTACCCTATTATAAACACAAACACTCCTCAGGATCGACCTCCGCTTGTCTTGAATTTCTCCACAGCCTTGAGATGAACAAAGGGTAGATCTTCTTCATATTCATGCTTCCAATGAGGTGAGGATGAGAATAAAGTTGTTGCAAGAGAAATAGATCAAATGACACGAATTGAAAACTGATTCAAGGAGAAAAACGACTGTCGCACAGACCATCTTTGATTTCTTTATAAAAGGTGACTTCTTTATAAAAGGCTGATTCCACCGTGGCCAATGTAAGCCACATCACCACAGTTTTCATTACATATAGGCAAGCACTCACCAATTGGGACGGTTCAAGTGTTGACTGTGATGGGCGATCAGGAGATAACTGATTAGAGAAACTTAATGACCATTTCTAGCATCATCTTTATTAAAGGAATATCTCAAGACACTTCTTTCAATGTATAATCTAGTTTCTCCAACGGTAATATCATAACACTTTCCTACTTGAATAAGTTTATAAGAAGTAAAATTTTGAGTAAATGTCAACCAAAACTTAAATTAAGTCAATATTGCGTTGACTTTTAATATGAATTAATAAAAAAAAAAAGGAAATTTTCTTGGTATAAACATAAATAATAACTCAAATTTTTTTAATAATTTTGAGTAACTGAACGGTGACGTTTGAAATGTAGGAAAATGGAGGGTAAAGGATGAAGAATAACATCCTTTAAAATACAGTTAATATTTTAATTTGGAAAAACAGGAACATTCTTAAACACAAAACATATAATAAACTCACAAGATCTATGTCTTTTTCTCTTAAATTAGAATGAAAATCTCAAAAAAATAAGCATGATTCAACTCTAAAATAAACTAAATTAAAATAAGCGATACACATACCTAAAACTGATATAACAGAAAATAGAGTTAATTGTAGCACTTTGAGTAATAAAAGTTTTAATAATTTTAGTCTTCAAAAATTTTAAGAGCAAATAGCATGAGAAAGAGAAAGAAAGGATGAGAGATTAAAAACTTTTAGGGATAAAATCATAAAAAACAGGTGAAGCCGTGGAGAAAAAGAATTAAGAGAGTTTTAAGCTTTTAATATGATGTGGGTTTGAAATATATATATATTAATAACAAGTTTTTTATAGGCCTGGATATATGTATAATAGTTCTCATTTTAAAAAAATCTGAGAGTAAACCTGGGTATATATATTAATTGCACTTTTTTGTGAGCCTATATATTAATAATTTTTTTTTAAACATATGAGCGTAGACCCAAGCCTACCCTCAAAGAGGCTAGATCCATCATTAATTATCGACAATCAAACGATTAGAGTTTATACAATCACTCCTCCTAAGTTAAATTCTGATTAATTCTAATTACTAAAATCCAACTTTTTATCTTCTTTCATAAAAAATCTTAATAATTTAGATCAAATTTATTTCTTATTTATTATTAAAATATAAATTTAAATAATAAAATGATTTTTTAAAAATCTACGAGTAAAAAAATGTGCCATTACATTATTATTTTTGGGTGAGAAAAAGGCATTAACATTTATTAATAACATTAATTTTGATTGAAATGACAATGGAGAAAAAGAGACATGGAAAACCCGAAGGGGAGGCGCCTGGAGCCATTTCAGATGTCGCTTTTCATAGGATTAAGTGCAGGTGGGGTGGCCCCAACCCAATTAATCACCCTTTCTTTTTTCATATTAAATTATTGAAGGGACTAAGGCTAACTGAATGAGTTGGCCTTTAAAATCACTCAGGTCCCAGTGATAGGCCGCTAGCTCTCTGCAACCCTCCATTTTATTGGCTACATCAGGAAGAGACAGGATGGAAGTGGTAGTCCATTTCATGCGTATCACCTCAAGGGACCACCGCCTCCCGACCCAGATGGCCCTTTCATTTAATCAAAACAAGTACAGTCGTATAACGTCACGTATCCAATCCCTCCACCCCCCCTGCAATTCTGTCCACAAGAAATACAACTCTCCAATGCACAAATCCATTTCCACTTGATATATGTTCATTTGAGATATTATGAATATTCCAACATTTTAAGTCAATTTAATCGTCTCAAAGATAGATAATTGATGGAATAGTCCTTCACTCCTTTGTCATTGCTAATTACCCATTTATGTTAAGTTTAATTTATCTCTTAAATCTAGCTCTTATGTGTCCCCAAAAATAAATGTATTTTTGGTTTGTTAAAAATGTAAATCTCATTGTTTATAAAATCATATTTTAATCTAGTTTATCATATATTCTTCGTCCCGTTAAATAAAAATCTTTTTATTTTTTTTACTGAGGTGTTCAAATCAGTTTGTGCATACCAGTTGATTACTCAGCACCCATTAATATTTAATATTTTAACTTTTAAGTATATCTTTAATATTTCAGTATTTAATCTTCAATAATGAGACGTATTATTTTATTAAAAAATTCCTTGGGCTAATTTGTTCTTTGTCAATCACTGTGAGTTTCTTTTGTTATGGTCTATTACTTTTGGGTTAAGAAAAATGAAAAGTGATAAAATATAGTCAAAAGAAAAGAGATAGAGATAGAAAATAATCAATTAAAGCGAAAGATTGATTTAAATAATATCAAAAAAAGAAGAAGATGATCTCAGCAATAAACAAAGGAAAAACCTTTTTAATCAAAGTTGATGTGTGCAATTAGTGATTAGACCCAATACATGAATCCCAATTACAAATTCTTAATAATTAACAAACTAATTAAATTTAGATCATACCGAATAACCACATATGATCAAATGAATCCAATGATCATAATCACAACTGTGATTAGAGGGAAGTGATGAGATCATAGAACCAAATCACACTGCCGTAACCGTCTGATGTTGATGTTGCACATTATGCTTTTGTAATGTCGATCTTATCAAATGTCACTGGTATGGGTACTGGAAATCGGAAAAAATTGTGGTCCATTGTGCTGGCGTATCCTGTCCTGCCCAACATACAATGGTAAACAATATGGCCCATCTTGGTCCAATGCTAGGAAATTATTATGGTGGCTATGGGAATTTTTGGGCTGGATCGGTATGAATCTGCCACTCAAATTTTGTTCTTTTATAAGTGTTTCATGAAAATGCATGTTTTAGATTTTAATTGTTCAGACCTTCTTGTTTTTCTCCAGCCCTCCTTTGTTTTGTTTGTCTAAATTCGTCGTGCTAGTATAGAGAAAACGACATATTACCATCCGAGGTTTAGCGGAATTTCAAGTTGATATCTCTAATTTCATTTATTCTAGATGCCATTTCTTTTATTTTAATATATTCTCAATTTTTAACTGTAGTGAGACACACGTTAGCATGCAAAAGTGTGCTGGCGCTTTCTTTGGCCAAAAATGGCTCATGTTAGCAAAAAAAGGCTCACGTTAGCAACATTCAAGCCGATGGTTTTTGGTTTTTTCCAATTGATTCTGAACTCCAAAATCATTTCCAAGACCACCGTTGGACTTCCCACAATCTCCTCTAAAAAATCCATACTTTCACTTGCAGACCTCATTCACCGTTTTTGATTATTTTCAATAGTCACTAACGGTGTTAGTTTAACGGTGAAGATCTAAAATAAATGCAATTAGGAGGTATCAACTTTAGATCTCGCTAAACCTCAATGGGAATATGTCGTTTACTCTGCTAGTATATCATGTTAGGCCATTCTTACGACCACCACAATAACAAGACATCATCAAGTATGATTCATGTACAGAGAATATGTGTTGATTGAGTACATTGAATCAGTTCTAGAAAGGAAACGTGGCCCAAAAATGTGTAGTACGCAGTACGCACACATCCATGGTCAAGAATCAGACTAAAATAATTACAACTCAGAAGAACACGAAAAGCTAAAAGAACTAAGAATGTTTAAATCATAGACCTACATGTTCTGTTCTTAACAGATACCATCACAGCGCGGAAGGACACAACCTGCTGGCATTTGTCTGCTCATTTGTTGTTTAACTCGGCTTCAGCTAGCTGGGGTTTTGTTACTAATCATCAAGGGAACTGACGAAACCAAGTTTTATGTGATTTGAGCCATAAGATAAAGAGCTCTCACATAACCTTATCGGTATAAAGGAAGCCATACACAAACATGTCTCTAATTTCGCCTTTGCAGAAACCGTACTTCCTTAACAAACCTTCTTTCAAGAACCCAACTTTTTCTAGTACCCTTTGAGACCCTTTATTTTCTACCTCTACCAGAGCCTGCAATCTCACCAAATCTGGAATTTCCTCAAACACTTTAGAAACAGCCATTTTCAATGCTACCGTGACTACCCCTTGACCCCAGTACTCTGCCGCCAATGCATATCCTACGTGGGCTCTGCATCTATCATCACCTGCTTCTTGTTTGATTGAAATGTAGCCAATCGAACGGTCATCCAAACATATGGACCGACGCCAAGGGTGGGGTATAGCAACTTTGTCAAGATAATTTAATGCTTCTTCTCTGGAAGTAATTGTGTTCCATCTGAGATAGCGTGTCACTCTATCGTCACTAGCCCATTTCAGGAAATCATCAACATCGGAGAGCTTGAATGGACGGAGGGAAATTCTTGATGGGTCCATTGAAACAGGCTGCAACAGAATTGCAATGAGATGGATACTCCAAGCTGAATTTAACTATTGTATGAAGTGGAAAATTCCTGTTGAAATAGTCAGCTAAGGCGGCTATAAATATGTTAAAACAGTTTTGGCGTTTTCTAATTCCTTGCTCCTCACTCCAATCAAGGCAACGTTTACCCCAATTATAAGTTAACATTTCTCATTCTATCTTAATTCCATATGTTAATAAATGCTATATCTTTCTTCTCATATTTTGTACTACGGTACTCATTAAGCTTTGTTAAACAGTCTTGGTTAAAAGCATAAATGGAGGAAAAATCCTCCAAACCATATGAAAATGAAGGCGACCCTAAATTCTCTGATATCTCTCTCAGGTTGTTAGATCTTTCAGACATCGACGATTTCATGGTGTGGGCTAGTGATGGTAAAGTTGCTCGCTTTTGCAGATGGGAACCTTACACTAGCAAAGAAGAAGGCATGAGCTTTATCAAAGACAAAGTTGCAACCCATCCATCGTTCAGGGCAATTTGCATCAACAACAGGCCAATTGGTGCTATCACAGTCACGCCAAAATCCGGTCATGATAAGTGTAGAGGTGAGCTTGGATATGTTTTGGCCTCGAATTACTGGGGCAAAGGGATTGCTACACAGGCTGTGAAGATGGTGGCTAAAACTATATTTGATGAATGGCCACATTTGGAGAGGCTGGAGGCTCTTGTAGACGTTGAAAATGTGGGCTCACAAAGGGTGCTAGAGAAGGCTGGATTCAAGAAAGAAGGTGTTCTTAGAAAGTATTTGATTCAAAAGGGAAGCACTCGAGACATGGTCATGTTTAGTCTTCTCTCCACTGATCCTAAAACTTAATCATCTGTACAAAATTTAGTTTGTGTAATATTCACTGTAGTTTGTTTTCTTTTAGCTGTTATTTGTATTCATAAACAGATCATAAAAATTGAACATACAGGATGTGAATTTCCACTATCCATCCTTATGATGACCTTATCTATTTTCGTTGACTCCAAGTTGATTAGGATTATTAAGTCTCTACAGCGGCGAAAATAGCTAGATTAGGTCCCTTTCTCACCTTGGTGTACTAGTCAACTAAGGCGGCATTAAATACAGTTTCATCTTGGCACTTCTCCTTTTTTCCCTCTATAATAATTTATTTATCATATTTCCAGGGCAATTACTAGAGGTCAATTTCTTATTGTTTTTGTTAGAATACCAGNAACCTTACACTAGCAAAGAAGAAGGCATGAGCTTTATCAAAGACAAAGTTGCAACCCATCCATCGTTCAGGGCAATTTGCATCAACAACAGGCCAATTGGTGCTATCACAGTCACGCCAAAATCCGGTCATGATAAGTGTAGAGGTGAGCTTGGATATGTTTTGGCCTCGAATTACTGGGGCAAAGGGATTGCTACACAGGCTGTGAAGATGGTGGCTAAAACTATATTTGATGAATGGCCACATTTGGAGAGGCTGGAGGCTCTTGTAGACGTTGAAAATGTGGGCTCACAAAGGGTGCTAGAGAAGGCTGGATTCAAGAAAGAAGGTGTTCTTAGAAAGTATTTGATTCAAAAGGGAAGCACTCGAGACATGGTCATGTTTAGTCTTCTCTCCACTGATCCTAAAACTTAATCATCTGTACAAAATTTAGTTTGTATAATATTCACTGTAGTTTGTTTTCTTTTAGCTGTTATTTGTATTCATAAACAGATCATAAAAATTGAACATACAGGATGTGAATTTCCACCATCCATCCTTATGATGACCTTATCTATTTTCGATGACTCCAAGTTGATTAGGATTAATAAGTCTCTACAGCGGCGAAAAAACGCTAGATGAGGTCCCTTTCTCAGCAATTGTACATCCAATTGCCTTGGTGTACTAGTCAACTAAGGCGGCATTAAATACAGTTTCATCTTGGCACTTCTCCTTTTTTCCCTCTATAATAATTTATTTATCATATTTCCAGGGCAATTACTAGAGGTCAATTTCTTATTGTTTTTGTTAGAATACTAGGGTCTATTGAGTTGTCTCAATTGAATTAACAAGAGATGAATTGGATAATCAAACAACTCTGAATAATTTGAACATCCTGAATCATTCAATCAAGACATGAAAATAAAAAAGAAAGAAAGAAAGCCAAAAAAAAAGAAAAGAAAAAAAAGAGCAAGACACAACAAATTTATAGTGGTTCGACTAAGTAGCCTACATTCACTCTTCAAGACTCACAATAGGGTGTTATTAATCATGATTTCAAGCAGTACTAAAAAGAATTGAAATAAAGAGTACAAGAAAATAACACACCCGAAAATTAGACCCTAGATTTCTCTACGAGAGTTGCTCATTTCCTTCACCAGCCCACCCTATTATAAACACAAACACTCCTCCCAGGATCGACCTCCGCCTGTCTTGAATTTCTCCACAGTCTTGAGATGAACAAAAGGTTAGAATCTTCTTCATATTCATGCTTCCAATGAGGTGAGGATGAGAATAAAGTTGTTACAAGAGAAATAGATCAAATGACACGAATTGAAAACTAATTCAAAGAGAAAAACGACCGTCGCACAGACCATCTTTGATTTCTTTATAAAAAAGGTTGACTTCTTTATAAAAGGCTGATTCCACCGTGGCCAATGTAAGCCACATCACCACAGTTTTCATTACATATAGGCAAGCACTCACCAATTGGGACGGTTCAAGTGTTGACTGTGATGGGCGATCAGGAGATTAACTGATTAAGAGAAACTCAATGACCATTTCTAGCATCATCTTTATTAAAGGACTATCTCAAGACACTTCTTTCAATGTATAATCTAGTTTTCTCCACGATCCTTTGGGAGATATCTTGTTCTTTATTAATTTTCCACCTAACTTGAAGCCAAAACACTCATGGATAAATAATACTTCTAAGCCTATCAGCTATCACGATGATTGTTCTTGTTCCTGTCCCTGACCTTAACTTCCTGTATTATTGACTTATGGTCAACAGTGGCGGCCATTACAGAAGCATCTTTTTCTCCTTGGCATTTTTGTCCGATTAATATATTCATAATTCAATGTACACCACGTATTAAAAAATTGAACCCCCGGGCCCAAATATGGCCGCATTGATATATACTATTCCTTAAATATATATTTATAAATGCAAGAACTTTACATCTCTTTTCCCATTCTGCTTAATTTCTCAGATGAAAAATTTTCTTGTCTTGTGATCTATTCAACCATTTAGCCATACATTCAGGGAAAGTAGAGTGGACATGGAGGAACAATCTTTGGAATCAGAGGTAAAAGAAGGGCAGAGCGAATTCTCGCAGATCTCTCTGAGGCCATTGGAGCTATCAGACATCGATGATTTCATGGTGTGGGCTAGTGATGATAAAGTGACTAGTTTCACCAGTTATGGACCTTTCAGTCACAAAGAAGAAGGCATAGAGTATATTAACCACGTCGTTATACCCCACAAGTGGTTCAAGGCAATTTGCTTAAATAACAGGCCGATTGGGGCTATATCAGTGACACCATTTTCAGGCAACGACAAATGCAGAGGTGAAATTGGGTATGTTCTGGGGTCAAAGTATTGGGGCAAAGGAATTGTAACAAGGGCTGTGAAGATGGTGGTTGATATTATATTTGATGAGTGGCCACATTTGGAGAGACTTGAGGCTCTGGTAGATGTTGAAAATGTTGGGTCACAGAAGGTGCTGCAGAAGGCTGGATTCATGCGAGAAGGTGTTCTCAGAAAGTATTGTCTTCTAAAGGGAAAAACTAGAGATATGGTCATGTTTAGTCTTCTTTCTACTGATCCCAGAATTTGATTAATTGTATGAGTTAATGCTGTGTTTCCTGGTGAATTGATTGAGTATATATGGCCATGTCTATGATTTGAAAAGGAATATTTAGTTGAATATCAAGATGGGCATCTTTCAATTATCCAATATAATTAACCCTTTTTATTTATTTATTTTTTTTAATGCTAGTACACAATAATTTGAATGGTTAAGATATTTGTACAGGGTTACTTCAACTTTCTCTAATTTTGGCACTCATAATTGTCTCCTAGACTCTTTTCTAGTGCTAGTTATGAAGATAGAGGTAGTGAAGACAAAACCAATTCTGGGTATTTGGTGAGTGAGTGTTAAGATTATGAGAGAAAACATAAGATGGACCATGCTTCATTTTTCACTTAAGAATATAGCTCTCTTCTAATGACAGATTGTTCAAATCATATATTTAGGTTTATATCTTATTTGGACTAAGGTACAATTGTGAAAATAAATTGTAATAAACCCCTAGTTAAATATGAGTAAACGACTTTTTTCCACCCCAAATAATGACTTAATGACACTTTTCCACTTACAGACTTTTAAAATACTACTTTACAACCCAAATTTATATTTTGTTTCCGATTCCAACATGGTTGTAACCCCACACTACTACCATTCTCTTCCCCGATCATCACTCACCAAAACTCCTCAAGCCCTATTCCCGCAAACCTCGCCAATCGTCGGCAATCGAGCGATTAGGGTTTGCGTAACTGCCCCTCCCAAGTCAAATTCTGATTAATTCCAACTTTCTACCACCAAAATCCAACTTTCTACCACCAAAAGACTCATCGGTCTCCCCTCTTCTAAAGTCTCAACAGCCTGGACCGAGTTTGCTCCCTGTTCACCGTTGAAATATAAATTTAGGTAGTAAAATAGTATTTTAAAAGTCTGTGGGTGGAAAAAATATCATTAAACCATTATTTGGGTGGGAAAAAGTCATTAACTTAGTTAAATATACTGAGAATCTTATGTCACATAAAGGCAAGTTTTGATGGCGGAGATAATGGACCTAATAGCATCACATCTTAATTTTATGTTGCATTAAGTTCCAAGTTTTCATTGCGGAGATGTCCCCAAACCCGAAGGTTTGAGACTAGTTCTTGATCGGGGCTCGGGTAAATGCCCTTAGCCACAAGGGGGTTTGAGACTAATTACCGATTGAGGCTCGGGTAAAGCTCCTGGCCTCAAACTGGTTCCAGTGAGATTCGAACCCTTAACATTATCGATAAAGTTTGTCAATTGAAAATCCAGTTACCAGCTAGATCACAACTCATGGTTAAATGACGCCTAATTTGAATCTTGGAATCTTATGCTACATCAAGGGTGTAAGACGCAAGAGTAAGCACATAAATAGTATCACAAAATATTAAAAAAATATAAATGATTAAAAGTTGAGTATTAACAGATAAAATTAACAAATTGATTGCATAATAATCTATTTTAGTTATTATACTTTTTTAGGGTTAGTTTGAGATTGTTGTGACTTTAAGTTTAATCATTTTTTTTCCCAACTTTAAAAATAATCAGCTTTGAAAATAATTTTTATTGTGTTTGTTAAATATTATTTTTATAATTTTTGTGATTGTCAAAATCTATTTGTTAAATTAGATTTTAAAATTTTTATTGTACATGCAATGATCAAAATTGATATTTTATTTTGATATCAAGATGGGCATCTTTCAATTATCCAATATAATTAATTAATTAATTAATTATTATTATTATTATTATTATTATTATTATATATTTTTTTTTTTAATGGTAGCACACGATAATTTGAATGGTTAAGATATTTGTACAGGGTTATTGCAAGACAGTAACTAGGAAATAGGAATGTTACATCAAGGGTGTAATAGGCAAGAGTAAGCACAAAATTAAATAGAGAGAACACCCAAGGTTTGACGAAATGGCACTTTTCCACCTGTCAAGTTTTAAAATGACATATTTTCATCATTCGTCAGATTCTGTTAGTGTTTTATATTAATATTTAGCTGAAAAGGCGAAAATACCCTAAAATAGTTTATTATAAATTAAAATTTAATTAAGTCAAAGTCTTTACTCAATTATTTATTAGTTTAAGTGTAAAAATAATTTTTTTTTCTTTGTTTATTTAATTAATTAAGAATATTGATTTTTTATATTAAGTAGGAAAAATGAAAACCATTATAAATTAATAGATTATTGAATAATAGTGATGAGATATTGATGACATTATAAATAAATAAATATTAAGATCATTTAATTTTAAACAATTTCATAGCATTACTTCTAACTTTTTAGGTGAGACTAACTATTTTTTCTTTTTTGACTTTTTAGCTAACTAAAAATTTATAAATTCAAAATTTTAAGGATACTTTCATCTTTTCAGTGAAATATTAACAGAAAACATAATAGAATCTAACGAAAGGTGGGAAAGTGTCATTTCGTCAAACCTTGGGTCGAAAAATGTTGTTCTCCCAATTAAATAGTATCACAGAATTTTAAAATATATAAATGATTAAAAATTGAGTATTAACAGATAAAATTAACAAGTTGATTACATAATAATCTATTTTAGTTATTATACTTTTAGGGTTAGTTTGAGATTGTCGTAACTTTAAGTTTAATCAGCTTTGAAATTAATTTTTATTCTGTTGGTAAATATTACTTTTACAATTGTTGTGATGTCCAAAATCTATGATTTTGTATTTGGTAAATTAGATTTTAAAATTGTTATTGTATATGTAATGACCATCGATATTTTATGCTCCATTTGTTACACTCTTCCGAATATTATTCTGGGTTTTCCCAATAAAGTTAAATAGTAAATTAGCTTATTCTCAAAATATTATTCTATATTATTCAATTTCTTTTAAACCCTCCTAAATTTGTTAATTTAACTAAACACCCCCAATTTTTTTTAGAAATTGCAAAAACGCCCCACCAACCCACATTTTCCAGATTCCGGCCACCACTATCGGAAGTTGGCCAGAATCTAGTATAATGACACACTATCATCTGTATCTGACTGGTAGTGCGTCGATTTAGCCTTTTTCGATCAGATCCACGGTGGATCTGGCTAGAAAATGCCAGATCTTCTGTCATAGCCAGTCGTCAACGACGACCATGATATGGTCGTTGTTGACCATCAACAATGGCCGTATCTTTGGCGTAGACGATCAAATGCGGCTAGATCTAGCCGTAGATCTGACCTTTTCAGGCTAGATCCACTGTAGATCTGGCTGAAAAAGGTCATATCGGCACACCAACAAGATCCAGCCGGTCATGCACCGATACGACGACTCCGGCCACCCTCCGGCGGTGGTGGCTGGCTGTCCGTATTAATGGGTTGGTTGGGGTGTTTTTGTTAATTTTAATTTTTATTATAGGGGTGTTTAGTAATAAACAAACATAGGGGGTTATTTTATTAATTTTCAAATCCTACATCGTAATACCCATCTAATTTAATTTTTTTTAAAATATTATTCTAAAAAGTATAGAATAATGAACCAAACGGACCATTATTTTAAAATATTTTTTTTTAATCATTTAATAATATAAAATAATTATATTATTAAAACAATAACATAAAAATTTCCAAAACAAATGATTGGCTGACACCAACGGTGGTCAACTATCGATCAATGGTCAAAGTTGGGCAAAAGTGGCGCGTTTGCACTAACGTCGCCCGTCAGTCCCACAAGAACCAACGCATGTTGACGTATTGGAATCCAGTTAAATCACCATATTCCAACCTATAGTTTGGTTATAGAAGGTGGCTAAGCAGCGTTCAACCGAATTCTGTCAAATTAGAAGTTGCCGATCCTATAAGGACTGAATGTGGCGCTAACACGCCACTATTCACTTTCATTGATCACCGATCAACCACCGCTGATCGGCAGTTGATTGGCGGTTGACCACTATCGGTGGTGGCAACAACCAATCCTATTTCAATTTTTTTTTTTAATTTATAAATAAATCATGAAATTATATTTGTAATAAATCAAAATGCTTATTTAAGTTAGTTTTGTAATTTGAAATGTTATATATGGATATGTTTGTCATTTTACAATACAAAATCAGCTTTATAAATCTGATTATTTTATAATCAACTTAATTAATTTTAAAAGTTATTTGCGTAATACTTTTATTAATTATATCTTAATCTACAACACACACTTAGCTTTAGTTTGGGGTTGCTATAAGCTTATAACTACTCTTATAATCACTTATTTCATAATCTAAAACACAAAAAGTGTTTAGTAAACTAATTTGAAAAATGATTACGAAACACGCTCATTATGAAATAATTTATTTTATGAAATGATTCCAAAAGTTACTAATTGTAGCTTTTAGAATTCAAATATTGCTTATGAAATTTTAATTATCAAAAACACGCTAACTAAATTCTAATTTTTTTTATAAATGATTTTTAATTAAATAAATAATATAAAAAAAAAACTTTAGAATTGGTTGGTGGCCGGACGACAGTCATTGATGATGGTTGGACACCATTGTTGGAGGCGCGTTCGGTGACACTGACCACCCTATGAGGTAGACTGTTGACCGATCTATCCAATGGAGTAGTCAAATCGATCGAAATTTGCAATGTTTCGTTGTAGTAGGTTAGAAAAAAAATTTCTAGACCTTTTTCAATTTGTTGCAACGAAATGTTGTAGGTTATGGCCGTTTTGATTGCTCCATTGGGTGGATTGGCCGACGATATACCCAATGGAGTGGTGGTGTCGTCGGACATGCCTTTGGCAATGGCGCCCGGCAATTGTTGTTGGCCAATTTTTCCAATTTTTCTTTATATTTATATTTAAAACTTATAACAAAAACTGATTATTAAAAAAGTTAAGAGTAAAAGTGATTAAGAAAGAAGTTAAATTAATCGTAAACTAAACCTTAATATATTCACCTTTTTCCACCTTGGTCAAGTGATCCATTGTTATGCTTATTACATAATTAATCACATCCCTTTAGGGCATCTCCAACTCACGTTAAAATGGTGCAAAAAACACCAAATTGGCGTGGATTGGTACTCCAACCCACGCTAAACACTGCGCCGCGCAGTGCTACATTGGCGCAGCACTGCAGAACTGCACCAAAATGGCGCGGTACTGTAGCAGCAATACTGTAGCAAAAAATATATTTTTTTTTAATTTTTTTTTTTTAATTTTGTTAAGTTAATTTGAGTATTAAATTTTACACCAAAAATCACACCAAATTTGAGTATTTGTATTTAATTTAATTTGATTATTATTTATAATAATAAATTTATAATAATGATATAATTCAAAAAATGATGAAAAATAAAAAATAGAACTTTATTCAATGCAAATATTAAACTACAATAACTCAAAATAAAAATTAACACTAATTTAAAAACACTAAAATTAAAAGAAAATACAACATAAACTAAAATAACAATTTAGTATTCCGGTAGATTAGTTCCGGATCCAGTAAGATCATCAAAATATTGAAAAAAACTTGAATAGACAACACATTTTTTTTTTTTTTTTGTATCATTTTATATTAGATGTAATGTTTTTCTATAATGTTTTTCTATATTAAATGTAATGTTTATTTGATTAAATAAATGCTTAATTCTATTAAATTAGTATAATTTTTAAAATAATTATTATTTAATAAAAATATCATTCCCAATATTTAATTAATATATACAAAAATAATGAGTGAAATAGATTAATTGTTGATTATTACAATAAAAGAAAAAAAAGAATATTCTAGAGAATAGTCTTTTTGGTGTAATATTTGGTGTTGTGGGTTAGAGATGGAATAATATTTTGCATCAAATTTTGCACCAATTTGGTGCAATGGGTTGGAGATGGTCTTAAGGTGTTCAATCTTCAATAATATAGCTTATGTTATTAATACCCAATGAATTTATTGAAAAAAAAATATGGTTGATTAAGTGATTAAAAATTATTTGCAAAAGAAATAACAAATTAAAATTAAAATATAAAAATCTTTAAACCATGTTTAATTGAATATTTTAAAAACAATACAGGATACGTTAAAAAATAAATAAATAAAAATCTAAAATGAGTTAAAAATCGTCCTGCAACCTGGAATCTTGATGCAGTGAAATTTTACCCAAAATAAGAAAAAGAAAAAAAAAAAAAAAAAAAAAAAATCCCATCATCATCTATGAAGTATGCAGTACTACTGCAAGCACAATCTTCTGCAGAGCTGAACTATCTTGCATCAACTTCACTGTCACTTCACCAGAAAAAGAATTATTAAAAGTGGAAAAAAAAAAAAACCCCACCTCTGAATGGATCCTCTATCAGCTCTGCGTGACTTCACAATCCGCGGCGAACTCGACAAGGTCACCCAGACGGAAAATGAAATCCGCTTCGGCTCCGACTACACTTTCGCTTCTTCGATCGAGACCCCTTTTCGTTCCAAACAAGGCAATCTCTACACTCTCCAAACCCTGGTTTTCTTCATCAAAAACTACAGTCTCAAGCACACTGAGTACATCCAGACCGCCCGTGCCCACCGCATCCCTCCCGTTACTCTCCCTGATCGCAAACCCCTCTTCGAATACCTCACCGGTAAAATCGACTCCTCCGACCAGATCGAATTCCACCTCCCCCAAAACCCTAACTCTCTCGATGGGCCCCACAAAGAAACGTTTACTAACGGCGATGAGATTCTGAGGAGCAATAATTATAATAGCAACAATGTTACGGCTGTTGATGACGGAAAAGGTTTTGAAAATCTTGAAAACGTTGATTACTTGGCTTTGATTAGAGCGGCGGAGAAACCGTTGAAGGACCGTGAGCAGTTGTTGGAGTGTAAAAACAGTGATTTCTATAGTGTTCTTGTGTCGTCGACGAGACGGGAAGAGGAGAGACAGCGAATTGAGTCGCAACAGAGGAAGGATGGGTTAGTGGCGAAGAATAGGCTAATGGGAGTTGACGAAAGAGGGCTAGGTTACGGTGGTGATGAGGGTTTCGAAACAACGCCCAAGCCGAAGATGTTGCAACTGAAAGGTGGGAAGATTGGTGAAGGCGTGCCGATAATACTGGTGCCCAGTGCGTTCCAAACTTTGCTAACGATTTACAATGTGAAAGAGTTTTTGGAAGATGGGGTGTATATTCCTACTGATGTCAAGGTGAAGAACATGAATGGGGTGAGGCCGGAGTGTGTGACAGTGCAGAAGAAGTTTAGTAGGGATAGAGATCAGGTGGTGAAGGCGTATGAAGTGAGAGACAAGCCCTCGGCGTTGAAGGCTGAGGACTGGGACAGGGTTGTGGCGGTTTTTGTGTTGGGGAAGGAGTGGCAGTTCAAAGATTGGCCCTTCAAGGACCATGTGGAGATTTTTAACAAAAGTAAGTGGAAGTTTGCGATAAATTCAGTTTTTGTGTAAATGAATTTGCCTAATTTGAGCCGAATTGAATTATTTAGGGTTTAAAGTGGAATTACTGTATTGGGGTTGATTGGAACCATGTGTATTGATGCTCCTGCTGTTATTGGATTTTGAAATTCACTTTAAATTTGAGCTTAAGCTCTATTGATGTCAAATTTGAGTTTGTGTATGTGGTTGAAAGAAGTATTGGTGGTTTTTGTCTTGTGGAATCTGTTGGTTTTGCATTTGGGTAGGGTTATTTTTGCATTCTATATCTGTTATATAACTTTTGGAACCTTATTTATGCTACTTTGTATAATATAAATGCAGTTATTGGATTTTTCATGCGGTTTGAAGATGACAGTGTGGAGTCTGCAAAGATTGTGAAGCAGTGGAATGTAAAAATTATTTCTGTGAGTAAATTTTTCCCATTAAGCTGCATAATTATTGTTGTTGTAGTGTGATAAAGTTTGTATTCTTGGGTAGAACTGAGTTCATGTGTCTTGTCAAGTTATATTATTTGCTAGCACTGGTTAAAATATGCCTCAAATGTGCAGATTAGCAAGAACAAGCGCCACCAAGACAGAGCTGCGGCTTTAGAGGTGTGGGACAGACTAGAAGAATTTGTTCGGTCACGGTCTCATTCCTAAAGAGTGCAGAGTTTGAGAGAATATTTGTATGTATGCTTCTATAAAGTCTCTTAGTTGTGACCAACATTTTTGATGTAACTGTGAAATTTGTTATAATCTTTCAGAAATTTAACTCTTTAGTCTCTTTTAGGTTATGTGGTAAAACGTTTACAATTAATGTGGATTATTATCATACAAATACTTGTTATACACTTACTTTATTTTTTCGCCAGTTTGATCGCTGAGAAGGTGATGAGATTAGGACTGGAACATATGTAAGATCAATGCTATTATGTGGTTGGATGTGAAAATAAGAGCAACTTTGGCTTGGCTTATAAGAGGCTTTCAACTCTGTTCAACTTTTAGTGAGTTGAGCCTTTGAGGTTATAAATGGTTCTACAGTTTCTCCCCATCTCTTTTTAGTCAAAGCATAAAGGGCAATGTTATGTGCACTAACTATTTGTACTAATCCAAGTACTAACATTGAAAATTTGAAATTCCTCCCAAAAAAAAAAAAATTTTTTAATTTTCAATGTTAATACTTGGATTAGTACAAAATGGTTAGTGCACATACTATTATTAAAGCATAAATCACTTAAGAAACGGTTCATATATTTTCAACAAAATTTTGTCTTGTTTATCCTGTGAATAGGGTTTTTGTTTAGGAACAAAATATGATAAGCTTGTTTTGAAGAGTTAATGTGTAGCTTGGTAGTCAGTTTGTTGCAGCTGATTCTTAATCAAAAGAATTTATGTTCAGAATCAAAGGTGGAAGTTCAAACACCTAAAAGACTATGCTAAAACAAAGCCCTGGTTGACTGTTTGGTTTTTTCATCACTAGAATACCTTATGTAGCTGTGTATATTCCCATGGATTTAATGGAAAATGTAACTAAAGTTGGCAAGTTATTTGCTGGGGTGTGATAATTTCTGCTTTACTTTAATTCACTGGATTTTTGAAATGGAGCCCATGGAGTCGACACCTAAAAGTGGGGATGAAGCTGCTTTTCGAGAGTTGAGTTCCTTCTTCCTGTACAAGCAGATTAAGAATGTTAAATGATTCAGAAAAATTTAAGTCCTCGTCATACAAATCATAGTATCCCAGATTCAGCCACAGTTTTGCTCCATGGCCCAAACTGGCTGAATGGCGGATCACTCTTGATTTGACAGTGAATCCTGGGTTAACCGAAACGAAATCTTGCTTGCAGCAGTCTAAACCAGAAGTCATCACTACTCAGTCCCTTACTGTGCTCTACTGATTAGTTAGCAGAAAACATTCAGACTATTTCTGATCCTGTTGTCTTTTTACTGACTGATCAAGTGGTTAATTGTTCGATTAGGGAGGATTTATCAGAAATGAACCAAGATTTTGATTAATTTTTGGTGCCGCCGTGTAACAGTGTAAACCAGATCTACTATGCTGCTAAATTGAGTAGAATATTTGCCAGTAGCTGTAGCTAAACTTATTTTAATCTCCTTCTTCGGAGCTACTTCCTTGTTGGACTTAGGTTAATGATTGTAGACAACATTTCACTACAGTTGATAGTGGAGCACAATCCTGGCTTACAAGAAGTTAACTTTCTTGCGAACCAAATAATATACAATCCTTTTTGTGACTTTTTGATGTGGATCAGACATTTCTTTGCTGACTTAATTCTGCAAATACATTGTAGGACTCCTGTGTAAATCAAGATGTTGGATAATCTATCATACAGTAAACCTATGTATTAAGGGTGAGTTATCGTACTGTTAAATTTTTTGTTCTATTATTATTGCTTTGCATCTTTCATAACTTGTTCTAGTAAATTAAATTCCCTATTTTTGTTAGCTTTCAATTGGTTCATCACTATGTTATAGTCAGAACTCAGAAGTTCATTTTTTTTTTTTTTTTTTTTTTTAATCCAATTTCAGTTTTTAACTTGCTTGTCTTCAGGACACACAAATTCCCCATGCACATATGATTGTACATCAAGAAATTTCAATTTTAAATTTACACCATATGAGTGTTCTGTTTATTACATCTTCTAGGATAGCTATGAACATGAAATTGATGTACTAATAGCTTCGACCCTGCAAAGTGTGTGGTCGTTCTGAAGAATGTGAAGGATGCCAAGGGCAGGGTTCCCGGAATACTGTTCCTATTTGAATGGATCCTGTATTGGGTCAGAGATTGTCCAGCACAATGTTGATTCTCTAGATGTTCTTTTGATGCAAGTTTATAATAAAAAATAACATTTGATATTAATTTTTTTTGTTTTTTTTGTTTGGTGCATCTATTCGGTAACGAACCGTAATGCTATATATTAATATTGTTGTCCTTTTGCTGACTGGTTCTTGTTTGACCTTGAAGCGATATATGTTAACAAATGCTTGATCTGTTGAAGCCAACCAAATAATATTTTTATTGAGAGGGGAAGAGAGCTAGAAATCTCTTCAGTAATACAAAATGACACCAACCCTGAAGAGGGTTGCGAAATAATTATGACATAAAACCTCAACCAAGAGGAAACTCGATATTAATAAAGAATACAATAATAATTGTAATCACTAAAGTATGTTGGTTGTGGAGGTAATGGAATCAGTATGTCGTGAAGATTGAACTGTATGATGCTGCAAAGAGCAGGAAGACGAGCAGAGAGAATGACAACTTGATCGAACTTCCATCTGATGAGGGTCCTCCTTCTGTTGCTGGTACAGTTTTAGATCCTGTACCCGAATAAATATCATTATGTTTTGTTAGACCAAAAGTACAGAGTAAGATCTTTTATGTTGAGAAACTAAAAAAAAAAAAAAAAAGAAATAATAAAATCTGTTCCTTCCTCAACTTTGTCCTGTTTTAGTGCTCGATTTACATATCAGAAAAGACATTAGTAGAACGATATAGAAGTGAGGCAGTACCTGGAACTGTGCTGGAAGATTCTGGTGATCCTGCTGGAGCGTCGGCTGGAACAGACAAGGGGTTGTTGTTAGGGGAAGAACATAATGATCTTTGATTAACGAGATTTTAAGCATCTTATTTTTATTGAAAAATTTTCAATTGCTTTCTTACCATTACAACTGCTGGTAGGTGGAGTCTGAACATTGCAAGCATTGGGCAAAGCTAGAGCCTGAGTCTGGTTGACATCAATCCCCAGAGATGAGCCACCACCATTAAGAACCTGACACAAGCACTGAGGTGATGATCGGACAACACTAGCAAGCTGTGTGCAGCATTGAGAAGAAGGGGTTGAAGAGTTCCCTGTTATGTAATTGAGACACGGCGACAAGCTGATCAACACATTTGTACAACTTGACTGAGCTCTGGCCCCTGCCCAGAACATGGTAACTAGAACCAGGATCAGACCCATCTCTAAACTCCTGTTTGCCATTATGCCTTCTTTTCGATTGAACCCGGAAATGCCTGTGAATGTGGAGATCTTCTTAAAATTCTGGAGTTAAATTAGTCTTGTGGAGAGAGAAGAGAAGGGTGAAGTTTATATAGGTAGATTACGGTAAGAGAAGACAAATACAGATTGAACTACGCAGGTGACCAACTTCTCCTACTCTCAAATATTTTTCTTAGGTCAATTGTAAAATATTGGAGCTTGAGGTATGTTCAAACCTGGAGACTTTTGGAAACTAGTTGCGTGGCTTATTAGGAAAATTTGGAAGCCGGTTACGTTGTCTGGGTGACCAACTTCTGTTTATTGACTGGTCTTATTGTGTTGTGCTGAGGACTTGGAACCAAGAAGAGTTTTGAAGGTTCCAGTTGTTAACTTAGAAAAACTTGTAACAAGAAAGCATAACGTGTCTATGACTCCAACTTTTTGTGGAATCTGTCTTTTGTATTTTATCTTTTAAAAATACTAATCAACTCATAATAAGAAAGCAGGAAATTCCCATGAAAATTAAGGAGAATAATGCTGTGCTTCTTTCTTCCGAAAGATATGCCTGCTTCTGATCTTTCACAAAAAAAATTATTAGCCCACTTTACTTATTTTGTATACTAATTTATTTATGATGTTTGATTAACATGTTAAAAATATATCAAATCATTTTGTTGTTTCATAAGGCTTCGTTGATGCGAAAATTTGTACTAACAAGAGATATCTAGTCGACTTCGGGAGGAGCCAGGTAAGATGTATGTCTGGTTACTAATAACCAACGAGGTCGATAAAACGACGTAAATAACTAAAAATGAAAGAGATTTTTATAGTGGTTTGACTGTATCAAGACCAAACATACATCCACTGTTATGTTATTACTTAAAGGTGTTACAAGATCAAGAGAGATTACAAGGGAAATGAATGCGAGCTAAATGGACGACATTTAACTCTTATGACCTCTCTCTTAACGATCTTTTACACGTATGAGTGTATTTTCCTCTTGAACTTTACTAAAACTAGAATCATCCTTTGAAACGGAGGCCATGAGCTCTTTTTATACTTGGTTCGTTTGACAGTGGTTGAGAGTGGGTATTACAAGATTGCTTGCACGCGTAATCCCCTTAATTAGGATCTGAGTCAATAATCTTCATGCTTGTGACATACTGGGTCATGCTAATGGTAGACTAACTCATGCTTATGATAGTAATCACCTTGTAAGAGAAGGTAAGCGTTGGTGGGACAACACGTGGGATAATCCTGGCCGCTAAGCTTTGATACACCTTGCAGACATGTGGCACAAATCTGATCGCTAGGAAATTAGGCATAATAGCTTCTCCAAAAAGAATGCTTTTTACTCGAAATATTTTCTTATAGAAATTTTTGATCAATTTAAGAACCCACAATCAATACAAGTTAATGATCAATTTAAGAAAAATTACAAAATTTTCATCAATTTAGAAACTATATGCGAATTTTCGTTTGTTAAGGTAATGGACTACAAATTTTCATAAGTTCCATTAATGGACAAAACTAGTCGAAGGTGTACTTTTTGCTTGCCTTCCTCACGGGGATTGGGTTTGGGACGGCTAGTCCTTAATTTGTTGCATCTCTAAAGCACGACAAACTGTTTATTAACTACCAAATAAAAGAGTTTTTGACTTTTTCCCACCCATAGACTTTTAAAGTATCATTTTACTACCCAAATTTATATTTCGACGGTGAATAGAGAACAAACTTGATCTAAACTATTGTGACTTTTGAAGATGGGAGACCCATGAGTCTTTTGGTGGTGAAATGTTGGATTTTAATGGTTGAGATTGATCAGAATTTGATTTGGGATGGGCGGTTGCACAAACCTTAATC